CTAACTACACATGCTGTTTGCTGTGGTGTGCCCTCCTGAGTCACAGCAGCTTGGCCATGGGGCTTGCTTTGGCCACTGGGGTGTTCGTCGAGCCAACAGAGGCTTGCAAGGGGGCTGTGTGTTGGGGTTTTCATCTCTGAAGTCCCTTCTCCTGCCATGAGAAGGACATACCTGGCTGGCCTGCTGGAGGAAAAGAGGCTTGGGGAGTAGAGGCGAGTCATGCCCTTTGTCTCAGTCAAGGTCAACCCAGATCCTCCAGCAGCTACCCCAGACAAATGAGTAGTCCAGCAGGATCACACAGCTGCCTAGTCACTAGATGCTTTGTGGTTTGAGGGATGTTCGTAATGCACCTTATGTGGCAATGGATGACTCATACACCATCCTCAAAGGACTTCCCATTTGGTGAGAGACAAAAGTTTGCACGAAACTGTAATTACTGCAGCTACTATGACTGCCGGGTAACATTTTTTTAATGCTTGTTTGTTTTGTTCCAGGTCCTATATTTGATGATTCACTGTCATTTAATCTCTACAACAATGTTTATCCTCATTTCACAGATGAGGAAACTGAGACTCAAAGAGGTGCAGTGACTTGCCCAAGGTCACACAGCTAGACAAGGGCAAGTCAGGATTTTAACCTCTGTCTGTTTGACTTCAAAGCCCGAGTGAGGCTATTATGTTTTCCTGCAAGTCTGAATATCTTAGCAGCTACAAGAGGATCTCAACGTATTATTTTCTTAAACAGGCAGATGAGCCGGGCGCGGTGGCTCACACCTGTAATCCCAGCACTTTGGGAGGCCGAGGCGGGTGGATCACGAGGTCAAGAGATCGAGACCATCCTGGTCAACATGGTGAAACTCCGTCTCTACTAAAAATACAAAAAATCAGCTGGGCATGGTGGCGCATGCCTGCAATCCCAGCTACTCAGGAGGCTGAGGCAGGAGAATTGCCTGAACCCAGGAGGCAGAGGTTGCGGTGAGCCGAGATCGCGCCATTGCACTCCAGCCTGGGTAACATGAGTGAAACTCCGTCCCAAATAAAAAAAAAAAAAAAAAACAACCGGCAGATGAGGTAGAACTTGCTAGAAGGGGCAGCGTTTGGGCTTTGGTTAGGATTTCGTGCAAAGAGGTGGGAATGAAGGAGTGCTTATTTGAGTATTTTTATTCTGCAAACAGATCAAGGTATTTGGCAGCTGCTGGAAATAAGTTTTCCACATCCAGTGACTGGCTGCCTTTGGTGGACACAGGAACACATCACTATACGAACTTTAAAGGAGTACAGCTTGTAAAAAATTCCTCTGATAAAACTCAAGGCCACTTCAAGGTTAGTAAAACATGCAGGTATGTTTGTGATGCTAACTTAACTTATTCAAAAGCATCTATCCTATTTATCTGCTAAGATGCTTGAAATTCCTACCTTTAGCCGAGGCAATGAAGGCTCCAGTTAAAAGTGCACACATGTTGTTTGCGATAAGTTTGTGCGTATGTGTGTGTGTGTGCATGCACGTAGTCTGAGTCAGGGCTCCTAGGAGGGATGGGAAAGGTACGAGCTAGAGGCATTGCTGAAATACCAAAATGCAAGAGATTCCAAAAACAAATCAATTTCCTTTACACTTTTCCCCCAAGGGCTGGGTGCTGCTGAGAGATGGAATCTCTGTGCCCTTCCATGAGGAAGTGGTCTGTCTATGGGCTTGAGGCTCCAGGTTAGCGCTGCACTGGATGGGTGTATAACGTGCTGTTTCGGGGTGCAGACAGCCACTCTTCCTCTCTTCCCTGCATCCTTTTTACTCCCACCAGACATGGTTTTGAACGAGCACTTGGTCTTGCCTGCTAGAACTGTGGAATTTCAGACTTTCTAGAAAAACTTTAAGTTATTTATCTTAGTAGCTCTTCTCGTTCCCTGACCAATGAACCAACATAGCCGTTCTGCTGCTGCTTCTGGAGACAATGACCATCAGCAGCATCCATGTTCTTGACAGCCAGCTCCAATCACAGTAAGCTGAGACAAAACACATCGGGATGCTTTCGACTGCAGGTGGAAGAAACCGAATTTGAACTGGCATCACTGAAGTTGGAGATGTCTTGGCTGGTGTAGGTGAAAGGTCCAGGGAGCCATGTTGGGTCCAGGGCTTATCATTTAGCCTCGACTCCCCACTTCTACTTTCTACTGATGTCTCTGTGTTGGCAGCATTCCCAGAGAGACTTTTTGCCTCATGATGACAAGTACTGCTGGCACCCTCAAGCTTCCATCTGATTTTCTCAGCAGCTCCCCAGAAAAACACAAGAGCCTCTTTTCGAAGTCCCAGAACTGAATCGCCTGGGTTCTGGGCAGCCTGGCTGGGCTCATGGGCCTATCTCTGGACAATCACTATATTTAAAGTTGTATTAATTTCTTAGAGCTGCTGTAACAAACCATCATGAACTCCAGTGCATCTTAGAATGAACCATGTCCCAATGAGGGGAGGCACAGCTAAGAGTGGAGCAACATGGAAAAGCACTTAATTACTTGATTTCTGAGTAAGTCCAGAGTTCCTGCTGCTGTGGGTGGGTGAGGAGAAGAAATTCCAGCATGATGGAAAACTACATAATGTATTATGTTGCTCTCCCTTAAATCCCTTAAATTAAAGGAAAAACAATCTTCAAAGAATCATAAAGCACATAAAGACAACTGGAGGGGATGCTTATCTGAGATAAATTGCAATATTCTTAACGGCTGGGCTTTGAAACAAAATGTAAGTGGTAAGGTCTCAAAGTAACAGTCGCACATCTGCTGACTTGGAAAAAGTTGAGAAAAAATAAACACAATGACCAAGCTGTGCACTTGGCCAAGCCCCAGCAGTGTCCTGATACATGACTTCTCCTAGAGGCACACTGGATGCTGAGGCAGTGAAGGGGGATCAAGGAATATTGGCAGACTTCCGGGGAGAAGGGCACCCATTCATTTGTGTCCCCTCCAGAGGTCATCATTCCTTTACATGACCTTCCATCAGAGCTTCTGGGATGGAAATTAGACAGATGGAGAGGCAGTGACTTGTCAATGATACACAGAAGAAAACGGGAACCATTAAAACCCTGGATATGAGTTCCAAAGGCAGCACTGCTCAAGGGTTATGAACTCTGTCCCTGGAATCATGTGGAGTCAATTTTGAATCCTGGTTGACTGCCACTTAATAGATGCATGGTTGTAGGCTGGTTTCTTTGACCTTTTTGAGCCTTAGTTTTTAAATTGTGAGATGGGGATAATGTTAGCATAAATTTTTTTGAGTTGTCACAACACAATGATGGAAACCACCAGCTTGCCACTGGGTTACATGAATTGTATGTTTCCTTTGCACATTGCTTAGCTTGGAACCCAGAAGCCTTGTGATCTTGCCAAGTCTCCAAGCTGGCTTTACAATGAACTACTTCATATTTGAGGTTACCTTTTCTTGACTTAAGTATATTAATTTAGAAAGGAATTTTATGTCAATCACTACCATGCACAGTAAGCTCGATTCCATAGCCTGACAAAGGCTCCAAGCCTGCGGCCTGCTATCCCTTTGTACAAAACGGGGGTTTGTTAGAGAGCTGTTAAAGACACATCTGATGGAGTCATTGCCCTGGCCATAGTCAAAGGCCAGAAGAGGAGCAGGAAAGGGAGCTAGGCAGGATGGGAGGGGAGTGGGGGGATGGAGAACTTCAACCTCAGCATCAGTTCTGTAAGCTTGAGTGCTACTGTAGTAACTTCAGCTCCATACCAATTACCCAGAGCTGTAAAACAACCATTATCATGCTCATGGCTTGTGTGGGTGGGAAATTCGGACAGGGTGCAGTGGGCCCGCTGTTCCTCAGCTGGAAATCTTGAGGACTGGGAGCTCGAATCATCTGAAGGCTCATTCACTCACAGGTCAGTGGCTGACACTGGGCGTCGGCTGGGAGGCCTCAGTTTCTCTCCACATACGTTTCTCCAGGTGATCTCTCCAAGTGGGCTTGTTAGGGCTTCCTTCGGCCACGGCAGCTGTGTTCAGAGGACAGGTGTCCCGAGCCTTCGAGCCAGGTGGATGCTGTAGCACTTTTTTGTACTCTCCTCAGAAGCTGCTCTAGTTACTTCAGCTGCTTTCTAGTTTTCAGAAGCTGATTGTTAAGGCTGGTAGGGGCAGGACAGGATTCAGTCCCTATTTTAGAGATGAAGTCTCGCGATGTTGCTAAGGCTGGTCTTGAACTCCCGGGCTCAGCAGTCCGCTCACCTTGGCTTCCCAAACAGCTGGAACTACAGATGTAAGTCGCCGCCCCCAGTCTAACCCCAGGCCCATCTGTTATGAAAGGAGGGTCCTTTGAACACAAGTGCCCTGAGAAGTGAGGAGGACTTCCCAGTCTCAGACTTTTTTAACTGAGGTGGAGATGGGGACAGCCACCCACACGTAGGACTTGGAACGCTATGAAGGAAACAGGGGGCTCTTGGGAGGCCATCTCCCATGGTGGGGACGGTTCTGTGAATGAACTTGGCCTTTAGGGAGAGGAGCCGGACTCTCACGCAAAGCCACCTCACCTGTGCAGAGGGCTGAGGAAGCCCCGGACACCACAGGACCGCTAACCCAGGATCTTTGTTGACTTTGCTCCCGGGCCCCTGCCCCACCCGCAGGCTCTGAACCCCTGGGAGAGGTAGGGAGCCTGCCCGGTGTGAGTCAGGAGTGTAAAGTACACTGAGCGCCTTGGCAAGCAGGCTCTCTGAGGGGAAGGTGTCACTTGGGGAACACTGAGAAATATGTCTTTCCCTCAGCCCCTGACAGAAAAGTAACACCCCCTTCTGCATAGCCTTTTTTCATCTGTTCTTGCTCTTGGGTGGGGGAGGCTGCTACTCCGGAGCAGCGAACTGGCGGGCGGAGGTGCGCCTGTGAGTGCGCGCGCGTGCGTGTGTGCGCGCGTTCTCGTGGCCTTCCGGCAGCTGGCAGCTGTCCCGGCCCCCACCGCACCCTACCCCACCCCACCCAGCCGCACCGCGCCGCGCCGCGCCGCGCCGCCCCTCACTGTCCTGGGTGCGCCTCGGGCCGCTGCGCTCCTGGCCAGCTCCCCCCAGCGCCTGGGAGGCGACCCCCGGTGTGCCTGGGTTCAAAGGCCCCGCAGGGCAGCTCCAGCCCCTCTGGGGGGCGGGGAGGCGACGGGGTGGTGCAGAAGCCTGAAAAGCCCGAGCCCACAGCCGGCCAGCTCCGCACAGGGATGGGCAGCGCGCTCTGAAAGTTTGTGATCGCCGCAGCCAACTCCTGGCGGTAGCTGGAGACGCAGCGAGTGAGCGGCCGGCCTCGAACCCCTGCGGCTAGAAGGCGAGGCCAGCTGTGCCTGGCCCCAGTGCCCTTTCGCAGCCACAAGCGGCCGTCCTTCTGGCACGGTGCTCCGGCGCCTGATCTGGGTTCATGGAGCCGGGGCTGTGGCTCCTTTTCGGGCTCACCGTGACCTCCGCGGCAGGTAAGCGCACGGGGCGGGCGCGCCTCTCCTGGCGCGAGCGCACACAAAAGGATCTCGGGCGGGGAATCCAAGGCACCGAGAAGATGTGCGTTGCAGGGAGCAAACTCTTGCCCGGGCTCTGCACTCCTGAAGACGCCTGGGGGCGGGCTGGGGAGCAGAAGCCGCGCAACGACTACCCCCACGGGCTCTGGGGGTTGCAGCTCGGGGCTGGAGACCTGCTGCCTGGGCCGACTTGGTCAATTTTTCATGAAACTGGGGACTTCTCAGAAAGTTGGCGAACTATTGAGAGGCTGTGCAAAACGCTTGCAAAGTTTTCAACGGGTGCAAATAGCTTGCAAGCTTTTCACAGAACATGCAGATAGCTTGGAAATTTTTCAGAAACGGTGCAGAGCTTTGGAAACTTTGCAGACGTTTTGCTTGTTCCACCCCCCCCCCAGGTGTTTGGGGGTGGCGGGTGTTGAGGGGTCTGCACACTCAGCTCAGAAGCCCCTCAATCTGCCTCCTACAGGATTGATGCCCTGCTCCCAGTCTGGGGATGCTGGCAGGCGCGGAGTGTCCCAGGCCTCCACTGCAGCCAGCTGTCAGGGGGACTGTGAGGAGACTGTGGCTGGCCCTGTCGAGGGGACTGTGGCCCCCACAGCTCTGCAGGGTCCAAGCCCTGGAAGCCCTGGGCAGGAGCAGGCTGCCAAGGGAACCCCTGAGCACCACCGATCCAGGCGCTGCACGTGCTTCACCTACAAGGACAGGGAGTGTGTCTACTATTGCCACCTGGACATCATTTGGATCAACACACCCGGGTAAGTCAGTCTTGCACGGTGAGGAACATGGCTCCCAGGCCCGGCCCACATCTGCACATTCCCAGGAGGACCTCACTCCACCCCAGCCCTGCTCAGTCAGCCCAGAGCCTGTCCTGGCACAGCCTTTAGCTCTTGCTGGGGCCTCCTGCCAGCCCAGGTCCCTTCTGCAGGTCATCGGTGTGACCTACATCCCCCCCGAGGGCCTGACCCAAGAGAAACTCAATCCTGAGCTTGATCCTGTGGAAGGGGGAGTCCTCCCTCTGAGTGAAGGGAACTGACCAGGGGATTAGATACCTGAGAAGTCTCTCTGAGCCTCTTTTCTGAGATAGAGGAAGCCCCCTAAAGTTTATCTCATTCTCCAGGGGATAAGGGGGCTCATAGCTGCTGCTGACCCCACGAGGATCCAAGGGGTTCAAAATCCCTTGAAAGCATACTGCTCTCCAGGGAGTCTAAGGGCGGGTTTAGCTGAGCCTGACAAAACCTGCACAGTCCACTTCGGGGGGGGGATTCCCCGGGGACAGGCTCCCTTCCTCCTGGTAGGCCCCCTGGGTGCCAAGGGTGAATTCCTATCAGCTCGTCCAGGACCTTCCTCAGGCTGGCTCTGGTCGTTTATAGCCATGGCCACAGAGGGCCTCCCCTTCGCTCCTGCAGTCCTCAGGAACTCTCTTATCCTAGGACTTAGACTGCACCATCCTGAATTTGGCTTGGGGTTTGTCCTGTGGGGAAGTCAGTTTTCTCCTGGGGTCATGTGGAGAGAGTGTAGCTGTGACATGTGGGGGCTTTGGTGACTCCCAGTGTTCAGGGAACCCCTTCTGTAGACACGTCATCTTGCAAGCCACACAGAGGGCTTGACCTGGCTTGGGTCACCAACCCCCTGGGATTTGCTTCCCCATCTCTAAGATCTGGGACCTGGACCAGACGCCTCTAAGTTCTGTTCTCTGGGTGTTTGCGGGATCTCCTGGGACCCCAGCTGGTACCCTATTAGGGATTCTTAGCTGGGAACTGAGAGATGGTTGTGAATGCAACCCCCTGGAAACCTGCAAAGGCAACTTGCCACTGTGTCCGGAGCCACCATGATTCATGTTCCTCACGGTTCCTTTATCCACAAGCCCCATACTCTGAGTGCTCAGTGGCAGCTTTCATGCAGCTCGCTTACCTACCTTGTGTCGTGGGTACCTCAAAAATGACGTACAGAGGAGGGTAGTAAACCTGAGGGGTGAAAGGTCTTTCAGACCTGGGACAAGACCTCTAATCACATCCAGGATAGGTCTGGAATATCGACCCATCATGTTAGAAGGGCAGGCAGGGTGGCTTCACATTGAGCCAGCAGGACACTTACACAGGGTCCCACACTCAGAAGGACTCTGGCTTGGCTTAATGTCCTGCTGTCACTTAATACTTTCTGAACCAAGAGCTGCACATTTGCATTTTCTCCTGGGTCCCACTCTGTAGCTGGTTGTGATAGCCGGATTTGCTGGCTGGGCTGCGTTCACCCGCAGCAGAGAGGATGAGGGGTGCCTCCTGGTTTCTTTCCCTTTGTGGGGAAGGTAGAAGCCATGCATGTTGGGCCATCATCAATTGCCCCCTATCCTCAGACAGCGATAGGAGTCACCTTTCCTTATAGCCCCTGCACCTTGGCACCGCCCTTTCTGATTCTTATCCCACTGGCATTGTGTTCTGACCAAATTCGCTTCATAGAATGGAAGGCACTGGGCAGTCACCAGGAACTGAGTTCTTGTCTTGGCCAGAATCCCCAGCTGTGACTCTAGAAGGAGAAAGAAGAAAGCTAATGGAATGGCAGGCAGGGACCTGGGGTGGTGGGCAGTGGGAGAGGATTTGGAGACCATCTCATTCGCTGCCTGTTCCCCAAGCCCCGGAGCACTGGCTGGGGAGGAAGCGATGACTTGAGTCTGAACCAACACCCCGCGATCTGTTTGCAATTCTGTCTCATGCACCCTGCAATCTGTTTGAAGTCCTGTGTCATGATTGCGAGTTTGTCCCGAAATGAAGCTGTGGATCTTTGACTTTTTCCAGGACAGCCAACTTGATAACTTCCCCCTAAAGTGTGATTTACCTCTTCCCCCCTTCCTCACCCTGGTTCAATTTAAACACGAAGAAAGAAGGATTAAATCTGGTGTTTGTGCGTCTCCTGAGCTACTTGGGAAACAAAAATGACAATGGCCAGACTTGAGCGTTTTGAAATTAGACAGGCAGAATAATTTTTATGAGGCAGAATTTACTGAATGGCCTCCCTCCCTCCCTCCTTTCTTACCCTCCAAACTTCCTCCTGTCCTTTCTCCCTCCCTCCCTCCCTTCTTTCCCTTCTTCCCTTCCTTCCTGAAACTCTGTTGAAGTGTAGATAGGTCTATTTGCCATCTTTAAAATACCTCAACCAAGACTGCAGCTTGAGAAAATGGGCTGTAGTGACAGGGAACCTGGACCTTGAGGGACTTGGAGAAATCTAAAAAAGTGACTGAACCGAGCAAAAGAGGCACCGGAAGCAGGTGACACAGTCTTTTCCAGTGGTTCTAGAAATGGGACCATTTGGTCACAAGCCCACCTCTCCCGGGTTCCTGTCTCCTGGCTGTCATGCCCTCTTCGTTAAGGGACTGGCCTCACTCTCCCAACTGCTCCACCGGCTGTGGTTTCTCCCTGTCCCAGTGGCGGCTGCTTTGGGCACCTGAAGGAGCCTTCATTCTTGTGCCTCCATCGGGGGTCTTGAACTTTGGGTGCTTTTCACCTTTCAGCGTCTTTCCTCCCACGGCCCATCCAGCTGTGTGAAGATAGACACAACACTCCTACTTTATCTTTGATGGAAGTTTCTCTCACTACGGTCAATTATGCTACATTCCAGGAGCTAAGATGCTGGAGGAGTAACGCTGGGAGTTACTACAGAGACCTGTTCCGCAGCTCCCGGGGAAAGTTAACTGTCTAGTTCAGTCTCAAGAGACTACTTGGTCTCTTAAGTCTCTTTTGGAAAGAAGGTCAGATTCCTCGCTGTTCCTCCCTCCTTCTTTCTTCCTGGCCTCTGTCCTTCCAGACCCAAGCTTGGTCACCCACTGTTTTCTGTCAGCACCCAGCATGGCACGGATGCTCAGGAAATGCTGGTTGACTTTTGGCTAAGTCCTGCTGCCTGGGCACTCTGTCTCATCTTTGCTGTTACTGAGCTCCTAAAACTCCAGTGCCTTCTCCCACGCAGGAGGCCTCTTCCTCCAGGTGCACGGCTGCTCTTCAGGGGACCTGCACATCCCTGGAGATGGATGTGGGCAGGAGAATTCTTCTGGGATGTTGCCCATAACTTCTGTGATGTCTTCCAAAAACTCCATGGCCCCAAAGAGGAACCAAATCTATGTTTGGCCTGTCAAGGCTGCTGGGGACACAGTTCATCAATGGGAGGGTGTGATTTCCATTCGCCTTTCCTGGACTGTGCTAGGTACCCTAACCCTCCAGAGTCCCCAGGCCATCCCACCCCTCCCCGCAAAAACAAAGTCCCAAATCAGAGAAGAACATATCCCATCCTATTGTCATGGAAAATTTGCCAAGAATAAGATAGTAAGGGGACAGGTGGTGAACAAGAGGTCCGTGTGCTAATGTCCTTGTACATTGTGGCGGTTCTCTGTGAGCAGACTGAAGAAACAGAATGTTCTACCACGTAGCTGGGGACTGTAGGAGTCGGGGTTCTCCAGCGAGACGGAACCAGTAGGGTGTGTGTGTGTGTGTGTGTGTGTGTGTGTGTGTGTGTGTGTGTGTGCAGATTATGCATGTATCAGAAGTACAGTTGCCAAAGGAAATATTTGGTTGCTCTTTGGGGGCCATGGGCGTTTTTGGAGGATAAGACAGAAACTATGGGCAATGTCTCTCCAGAAACATATATATATATGGAGAGAGAGAGAGATTTTAAGAATTTGGCTTACACGACTAGGTGGACTAGCAGACCAGAAATCTGCATGCCAGCAGGCTGAAATTTCCCAAGAGAGTTGATCTTGGGATGTCCCATGGGATCTGCACGACAGTCCCATTAGTTGGAGTTTGAGACCAGCCTGGCCAACATGGTGAAACCCCGTCTGTATTAAAAATACAAAAATTAGCCAGGCATGGTGGCGCGTGCCTATCATCCCAGCTATGCAGAATTATTTTCTGTCCGGGAACCTGTCTTTTCTGTGAAGGCCTTCAGCAGATTGGATGAGGCCCACTACATTTCGGAGGGTCAGCTGCTTTGCTCAAAATCTAATGATTTAAATGTTAAACACATATCAAAAATGGGCACAGTAGCCTAGCCAAGTTGACACCTAAAGTGACCCATACAGGGATATCAGTTCGAACCACATTTCACAGCAGACCAGCCCCTCAGAGCCTGGCTGAAGGCTGAAAACCTGTCCATCCAGTGGCTGACTGAGCTATGGGGCACCCAGCAAAGGGCCCCACTGTGTTCCTTCCCACCCCATGAGCTGAGAGGTCCTGCCATCTGTTCATCCCTCTAAGGACATATGAGGGAGGCATTGTGATGCTGGATGATGACTGTGTTTTCCAAACCAAAATATGACACATGTGGGCTGGCAAGTAGGAATGCAGTTATGAAAAGAGCAGGGCAGGATGTTGGAAACCTTGACCATGGTGGAAAACCTGGGATCTGCAGCCCCCACTTGTGGAGAAGACTCTAGAACCCAGGAGTGCTGCCCTTGAGTCCTGGTCATGACTATCTGTGTGGCCTTGGGCCAGGAGATGCCATTGCCTCTCTGTGCCCATCTGGCAGATGCAGACATCAGCCACTCCAGGACAGCAACCTGCCAGGTCTCTCTTAATCCCAACAGTCTGGTCAGCTCCTACCAAGATGCCCAGCCCGGCTTCCCAGGCTGCCCCATAGCAAGCCACACTTAACTTAATCCAGCAGGAATAGCTTTTGTTTTGAGTTCTTTTCTCCTCTAAAGTCATAAAGAGAGAGAAAAAAGAAGAATTAACAAAACATTTAAACTTGTATTTTAGTGCATTCTGCCACAAAA